CTCTCTCTCTCTCTCTCTCTCTCTCTCTCTCTCTTTCACTGCAGAACTCAGAGAAGCAGATGCGTCAGTTAGCTGTGATTCCTCCCATGCTGTTTGATGCCGAGCAGCAGAGGATAAAGTTCATCAACATGAACGGGCTGATAGACGATCCCATGAAGGTCTACAAAGACAGACAGGTCATGAACATGTGGAGTGAACAGGAGAAGGACACTTTCCGTGAGAAGTACGTTCTGTCCTCTTTGCATTGATGTGCATGTTGATTTTGCGTGAAGGAATGAGGAGTTATGAAATCGGTACTAAAATGTATCAGCGTGTGGTTTTGCTCAGCAGTTTGTGTGCATGTGGTCGTGTTTGATAGTTGGCTAGTGTTGCAGCACTAGGTGAAACGTGATCAGCTGAAATCTACATCTCTGTGCTGATGCTGATGTAGACGTTTCCAGTCCTCTACAGGCAAACTAAAAAGATCATTCAACTGAAATAAACATGCAGTACAGTTTTAGAATGACCACAGGTTTTTAAGCTTAAAAAGTGCTTTTAGGCAATAGCTGTTAGGCAAACATTTTTGATTGAGGATCATAATAAATAATCCTGAGTACAAAATATAAGACGAAAAGAACAAAATGTAATGTATTAAGGTTACATTAGCAATATTTCGCCGACAAAAAAGGTACAGTTGTCTGTTGACAGTAGTCAATTTCAAACCAAACAGCTTTCTATTGGTCAACATGGCAAATCGTCACATGAAATTCCCAGCTGCATAGATTCCTATTGAAATGACTGGATTTTGCCTGCAAATACTTTAGAGGGTTGAAATGATTGATTAGCACTTCTCTGATGGCAAATTTTTGTTGATTGTGTCAGCATTGATTTTGTGCACATAATGTGGATAAGTCGAAACAGGTCAACATGTCAGCTGTGTGAACGCACTTAACTTTAACCAAAAAGGATGCTAGAGAAAATGTTTTGCTGAAATATCGAGCAGTGGTGGCTTGTTGCCAACGACTCACTACGACTGGTTTACCACCTGTAAATACGACACCCTGAATAGCATACGGAGTTCAATTACCCAATTACTGAAATTTGATTAGCAAAACTTTATTTCTTTTTTTGGCTAAATAAAAGCTGTTTTGGTGTTTTGCTAAAAAAGACATACACTTCAGTGCATCACTACCAAACTGCGTCATATTTGGTTTGAGAGTGGCAGAGGCTTTGTAAAGTTCTGGATCATGACGCAGAGGTCAGCAGCAAAAGGAAGTGAGAGAGAGATCTTGTCTAGTCTAGTTCTTAAGCATGAGCCAATGAGGAACCTTACCAGAGGAATCAAAGAAATCACCTTCACAAAAGTCACCTAAAGATGATCATACAGCATTTGAACTTTGTGTTTGCTCTGTATCACAGCTCTTCCTCTCCCTCACTGTAGGTTTATCCAGCACCCAAAAAACTTTGCCCTGATAGCCTCCTTTCTGGAGAGAAAGGTACACCTGCGTCTTTATTAATACCATCCTCTTCATTGCATTGTTTGCACTGCAGGCGGTGTGCATGAATATGATCTGAGTATTTGTGCATGAATATGATCTGAGTAAGGTTTGAAGTGCTTTGTGTGTGTGTGTCCGCTCACAGACAGTGGCTGAGTGTGTCCTGTTCTACTACCTGACTAAGAAGAATGAGAACTACAAGAACATTGTTCGCAGGAGCTACCGTCGCCGAGGCAGGAGCCAGGTGAGTGTGAGACTACATCTCCCAGCATGCCCTTTGACATTTTAATGCTGCTCATTCAAAGTTGGGTGTGAGATATTCCTACTTGGAAAATGTTGTATAAAGAAACAAAACGCCAGTGCTGTAATTTGTTTTTGAGGTGTGTGAATATCAACAGAGAAGATAATGTAAGATATTTTTTATACATTGTAAACAGGCTTATTATTGTGTAATGTTGCAAAATGAAACACTGATATGTTATTTGCTTAAAGTCCTGCCATTTTGCATGTCATCTCCAACCTTCTGCAAGAGTGTTGAAATTGAAAGTCCTGCATCAAGTGGTGTCCTATTGCACTTTCCAAGTAGAAAGCTGGAATTACGACTTTCCGAGTTGAATGGAACGCAGCATAAGATCTGAAAACTTCAAGGATGTTGACAATGGCATTATGCTATATTAAATAATATAAACATTGGTTATTTGCTTGTGGATCTGTCCCCTCATTTACAGCACGTACCTCATGATTATAGTGTTTAAAGTGGCGGTGTGAATTCGGCTTGTCTTTTTAATGTGAGTGTGTTATTAAAAATAAATCAGCATTATTCTAATGAGTATCACAGGCGCACACCTCAAAGTGAGCTCAAACCTTATGAAGTAATTATCTAGCTCTGTGCCCTGTTGGAGTCTGCAGTGATTCTCTCCTGATCTTACACACTCATTAATTTCTGTATGTGTGTGTGAGGATGATCACACACAGAGAGAGAGTCACGGAACTGTTGCATCGTGAATGTATGAAATGTTTGTGTTTTGTTTTAAAGCATGAGAGCACGAGGTGAAGTTGTTAGAAAGAGAGCTCTGTGTGTGTGTGTGTGTGTGCTGCCTGCAATAATAGCAGGCTCAATAAAAGCTGATAGAATAATGAGCCCACAGCCCAAACACATTTGTTTTACTGGTCTTCTGCTGCTGGAGCAGTTCTGCTCAGGTCATTAAATATCGCCTGATCTTAATGGGTTCGCATTAAAACGCTCTTAGCCAGTACCACAAACACAGAAAGCGAGGGATACAGTGGGATGAGCCTGATGGGTGAAAGAAAGCATGAACAAAAGGGAGACAGAAAAACAGAAAGCAAGTGACTGTTTGGATGAGTGCATCTGTATATGTGTGTTTAACTGTGCATGAATAACTGAGTGTGTGTGCATGCAGCGCTGTAATGAGGGATGTGGGTAGCTGACATGATGTCTAATTTTACCGTTTTCAGAGAAAACTTTATTTTTTGTCTTATTTTGGAATCAATTGGTTAGCATGGAAGAATAATTTTGCTGAAACGTAGGCTATTTGTTCAAATTTCAAGTGAATTGTCCTGTATTGTGACTATCCTCATATGTGTGTGCGTAAGGTTATACGAGGTGCCGTCTGTCAAACTGAAAAGCTCTGAGGCAAAATCGGTGCATGGAGATGTTGAGATTCCTGCACTCTTTCGCTTCATTGATCTGTCCGTCTTCAGTCCCCTCAGATTCTGTCTCTGCCCCCTCCCCCTTCATCCTTCTGTCATCCATTTTTCCCTCTTGTAGTAGCTGTAGTGGAGCATACTCTCTCTTTCCTGACAAAAATAGATGGTTTATGGTGCCTCATAATTCAAAATGGAATTCTTATGTGAAGGAAAACCCAGATACATAGAAGTGAGGCCTGGGTGATAGGACCACCACCTATTATATATATTTTTTCCTTACAAAGAGATTTATAGAACAATGTCCTGGTTCTAGACAGGTTATTTTTGGGGCATCATAGCTGAACTTGAGCTTGTGTATTCATTTTTTTTTTTTTACAATTTATTCAGGATGTCCATTTATTCCAGCAGATGAGAGAGGTGGGGTGGAAGTAATTTTTTAGATTATTTTAATTAGATTTTAATGGTTTTAATTTGCTGTCTTTTGATTGGCTGCATTCACAGAATAACCAACAAGCACAGCAACAGGTGAACCGCAACAATCAGGAAGAGAAAGACGACAAGGAGAAAGAAAAGGAGGGAGACCGTGAGGAGGAAAAAGTAGAGGGAGATGAGAAAGAGGACGGCATGAAGTGAGTATCTTTCTCTTTTACTCGCCTTCTCTCCTTCTCATCTCACACCCATCCATCAACTGTTTTTTCCTTGCATCTTCTCTCATCAAATCCTTTGAACCTGTGGCCTTACAGCTTGTTTTTCTCTGTGATTCAGCTTAAACAGCGAAGGCACAGTTACAGTGGGTACGGAAAGTATTCAGACCCCCTTAAATTTTTCACTCTTTGTTATATTGCAGCCATTTGCTAAAATCATTTAAGTTAATTTTTTTTCCTCATTAATGTACACACAGCACCCCATATTGACAGAAAAACACAGAATTGTTGACATTTTTGCAGATTTATTAAAAAAAAAAAACTGAAATATCACATGCTCAGTATTTAGAGTAGAAGCACCCTTTTGATCTAATACAGCCACGAGTCTTTTTGGGAAAGATGCAACAAGTCTTTCACACCTGGATTTGGGGATCCTCCGCCATTCCTCCTTGCAGATCCTCTCCAGTTCTGCCAGGTTGGATGGTAAACGTTGGTGGACAGCCATTTTTAGGTCTCTCCAGAGATGCTCAATTGGGTTTAAGTCAGGGCTCTGGCTGGGCCATTCAAGAACAGTCACAGAGTTGTTGGGAAGCCACTCCTTCGTTATTTTAGCTGTGTGCTTAGGGTCATTGTCTTGTTGGAAGGTAAACCTTAGTTCCAGTCTGAGGTCCTGAGCACTCTGGAGAAGGTTTTCATCCAGGATATCCCTGTACTTGGCCGCATTCATCTTTACCTCGATTGCAACCAGTCGTCCTGTCCCTGCAGCTGAAAAACACCCCCACAGCATGATGCTGCCACCACCATGCTTCACTGTTGGGACTGTATTGGACAGGTGCCTGGTTTTCTCCACACATACCACTTAGAATTAAGGCCAAAAAGTTCTATCTTGGTCTCATCAGACCAGAGAATCTTATTTCTCACCATCTTGGAGTCCTTCAGATGTTTTTTAGCAAACTCCATGCGGGCTTTCATGTGTCTTGAACTGAGGAGAGGCTTCCGTCGGGCCACTCTGCCATAAAGCCCCGACTGGTGGAGGGCTGCAGTGATGGTTGACTTTCTACAACTTTCTCCCATCTCCCGACTGCATCTCTGGAGCTCAGCCACAGTGATCTTTGGGTTCTTCTTTACCTCTCTCACCAAGGCTCTTCTCCCCCGATAGCTCAGTTTGGCCGGACAGCCAGCTCTAGGAAGGGTTCTGGTCATCCCAAACGTCTTCCATTTAAGGATTATGGAGGCCACTGTGCTCTTAGGAACCTTAAGTGCAGCAGAAATTTTTTTGTAACCTTGGCCAGATCTGTGCCTTGCCACAATTCTGTCTCTGAGCTCTTCAGGCAATTCCTTTGACCTCATGATTCTCATTTGCTCTGACATGCACTGTGAGCTGTAAGGTCTTATATAGACAGGTGTGTGGCTTTCCTAATCAAGTCCAATCAGTATAATCAAACACAGCTGGACTCAAACGAAGGTGTAGAACCATCTCAAGGATGATCAGAACAAATGGACAGCACCTGAGTTAAATATATGAGTGTCACAGCAAAGGGTCTGAATACTTAGGACCATGTGATATTTCAGTTTTTCTTTTTTAATAAATCTGCAAAAATGTCAACAATTCTGTGTTTTTCTGTCAATATGGGGTGCTGTGTGTACATTAATGAGGAAAAAAAATTAACTTAAATGATTTTAGCAAATGGCTGCAATATAACAAAGAGTGAAAAATTTAAGGGGGTCTGAATACTTTCCGTACCCACTGTATGTAACCAGCAGGTGGAAAAAGCATTCTGCTGACTTGCCACTCAATGCTAGTGCTAAAGTCCTCTGATTCAGAGCTCTTTTAAGCAGTTTGGATTTTACAGATAGATATCGGATAGAACTGTGGTCATGATACCAAAATTTTATTTGTCAATACCAGATTTTTTTTTGCCACATCACTAATTTAATTTAATTTAATTTAATTTAATTTAAACAGTTACTTTCAAGTAAACGTCGATTAAAGTTTTTCTAGTAATCAATAAAGTAAACAGTAATACAAAAACAAGTTAAATATACTGAATGTAAAAATGTGTATATAAAATAAAATATATTCATTAAAATATATTTACATACATTTTAATAAATCTATTTTATTTTTTGGGTTTATATACACATTTAAATTAAATTAATATTAAAATTATAAATAGCAAAAAAGACTGGGTTTCTCTTTTTCTTCTCAATATGGTTATTTGATTAATATTAACAGCATAATAGACTGGTCCATGTAGAGACACAGCATTCTAGTTTTCACTGAACAATGGCTATGCACAGATGCTGGTTCTGTATCATTTCAGCCTAATTTAGTGAGTTGTTAGTTTCTGAACACTAGTTCACTCGCAGGTGCACACTATATTAAAATACTCTAGGGAAGTACAGGTAACAATGTATTAATCTAAACTAAACCTGTGCAGTCAGCAGTACTGCAGGGTGTGATTAGAGCACATTAGCACTGGCCCGAATACACAGGCCTCAGTATACTTCACAGCATGCCAGCTATACATTAAATGAGTGCATTAAGCCGAGTCTGTGCATTTCTCGGACTTCTCCCCCATGATTCTCACAACCTGCGGGCACAGCTGCTGCTCCTATATTTAGTACTGTATCTGCAAGATGGATAATGTGCAGGTAAGATAAATGAGGGTCTGCTCATCCCACAGCCACTTCCTGACACTGTGCCGTACAGCTGATGGGGAATATACTAGCTAGGTGAGCCAGCATTTGCATTGTGTGTTCACCTTCGTATAGGGCTTTTTTAGGTTGTGTGTGTTATCTGTTAACAGTTCAAAAAGTTATTCTCAAAAAGTTATTCTATTATATCTTACAAATGTTTTTTCTAATAAGAATGCTCTGATTTTAGAAATTTTGACTGATACGCTCTATCTGTCTGTCTGTCTGTCTGTCTGTCTGGCTATCTATCTGATAATCAAACATGATGTATGAGTAATTTTGCTGCGATAAGAGCTTGTTTCGACTATGATAATGATATATTTTTTTGTTCTCGCAGAGATGACACCTCTGGTGAGGACGGGGAGGAGAAAGAGCCTCCTGCAACCGCTAAAGGCCGGCGCACCGCAAACAGCCGCGGTCACCGGAAAGGACGAGTCACTCGCTCTATGACCAACGAGCAGGAAGAGAACACTTCACCGCTAAGCACTGAGCTGGGTTAGCAAACACTTGCATACCATTGACTTTTTCTGTGGGTCTCTGAGGTCATGTGTTCAAATTAGTTATTTGTTTTGCTCTGCAAATTAACCGTGCGCAACCTTTTATTGTATAACATTGTCCCACTTGTAGATTTATAACTTCCCTTTTCTGTTTTCCCTAAATGTGAGGACATTTTAACAGCAATATCAACAGAACGAGAATGATCCTAATAATGAAATGCTGTACAAATACTTCGATGGTTGAGTAGAAACCATCTGTCCCCTGAGTGTCACAGTGTTCCCTGGTTTTACGATGAGAAGGCATTTCAATTTCCGAAATGCACTTTTTCATGATGTTTAGAGCTCATCTAGCTTAGCTAAGAGTGTTCTTGAACTTATGTTGATTGTGCTTCAGTTAAAAACGTCCCCTATACTTCAGCATGAGGGTCAAAACAGTGCCTGTGGCAGCTCTTGGATTTTTACTAATGTCACAAGAGCTTGAGTCATTTTCATAAGTCACTTCACCTTGAGTTTCTGCCTTAGCCCGTTTGTGGTTTTAGTTTGGTTTGGTTTTAAGTAATTTAAAGTATGGATATGAATTTGCAACCTTTAGTTTGTGTCGACTACCCCTACCCTACCCCTCTGCCTACCCCTTCCCCTTGTCCTTTGAAACAGAGTGTCAAGGGGTAGGGGTGAAAATATTTCCCTAAGAATTGGGACACCACTACTATACCGTCACAAATCATCATGCGTCGTCTAGCTCCTACAATACACACACCTATTCTGGTGTGCATTAGAGCCTTAACGTTCTATATTAATGCGCTGCTTACTGACACACACACACTCTCTCTCTCTCTCTCTCGATTTGGCAATAGGTATTTGAGAAAAAACATTAGCACTTTCTAATTATTGGGGGACTAGACCCCCAAATGTCTATGGTGGTTAACGCCCTGATCAGACATGAAAATATGTTGTGGCACTATCGTGCAGTCTGTAATATGACGTTAGCAAATTTTAGCGATTTTTTGCAAACATTTCTTTGAAAAACATGGCCATAAATATGAACACACCATTGAATGTAACATAAAACAAATTATTAATTTTCATTAAAATCTTTATTAATGCCAATAATGCTTACATTTATGTGTCTTTTTGTTCGCTCGGGTAGCCATGTTGCCGCTGTAGCCGGTTTACACTGAGATAATTCCCCTTTGTTTGAAGTGTGGTCCTGGAAAATCTTAGTTTGAAGGGCTATCTGGCCCTTCCCCTTACCCCTACCCCTCCAACCAAAAGAGAATCGAGACACCCCTACCCCTTCACATGAACTCGCAAAACAGAGGGGTAGGGGAAAGGTGAAGGGCTAAGGGGTAGAAATGGGAATGGGCCTTAATTGCTTATTGAAATAGTTTATTGAAACTATTTTATTGAAACAGTTTTGGAGATTTTGATCTCTTCTATTCATGTAGATAGAAGCTGCACTTAGAAAGTAAACCGAAAACAGCAACCTGGGTTGTTACCAAGATGGATGCTGAATTTCATTATAGAGACTTCGTTATTATTTCACGTTACATCCTTCTTCTCTGTACATTTTAGCTAATCTGGAGATGAATGAAAGTTCTCGCTGGACTGAAGAGGAGATGGAGACCGCAAAGAAAGGTCAGAACCCATGTTTGGTATTTTGTCACTACTGCATTTATTGAATGGACAGTATTCTCACAGTATAGACAAACAATTAAGTTAGAAAACCTTACAAAACATTAGGAAGGGGCCATTCACACAGAACATGTTTTTCCATTCCAATGCGCTACTTTTCCACTGTTTTTCTATGTAAACACGCGCTTGACGGACGTGCATAACCGTTACGCTCGCGTCTCGCGTCTTTTGCAGCGCCTCGCACATGAGCGCCGCGTTTTTAAGACGCCTTGTCAAGTTAAAAGAATTTCAACTTTCACACGCAGTGCCGTTCATCAATGTCAGTTCCAAAGCAGCGGACCAATCAGAAGAACTCTGAGGCGGGGTAAGCGTTGCGAGCTTCTTTTTACAGTAGCAAGTTGGCATGACAACTGTTTTATTTGACGGCAACGTGGCGCGTCTCAAGACCCTCGCGTTCTACGCTGTGCTTTTTTTAAAAAACATTCCTGAGCACTGCATCTCGCCGCGTTTTTATACGCAAAGACGCATTCTGTGTGAATGGCCCATAAGTGTGTTTTTTATTATTTAGGTGGCCTGGATCAAAATATAGTTTTAAAGACAATAATGTTTTCAGAAAAGGTCATAATGGGCTTTTTGTTTGTCTTGATTGGATGTTGACCGTTAGGATTTCCCTGTGTTCAGTTAACTAGATGTAACTCTGCCTGATAAGATCTGTGTAACACTTAGCCTAGCAACTCCACAAACATTTACATGAGCACTAGATCACACACTGTGCCCTTGGCCTCATTCCACAGACATGCACTTAGTGATACACATAATAATGTGTCTTTATGTGGGAGCTGCATCTTTATATGACAGCCAGACGTGTCATTTACGCATGGTTTAGGAACAAGAGCTTCATTAAAGTCGGCATGAAACGGAAGTTGCGATTGTCTTTTCTTCTCTACTGTGACGTATATCCGAGTGAAACAGCATCTGAAATGAGAGGGCCCGCCCTCTTGATTTTGTCCTTCGGGAATTGATTGGATCGCTGGAAGCTGGGGCGTTGCTAACAAATGGAGGCAGATCTGAATGCCAGTTTGCAGTTAGTGGTGGGGGATTTCTCTCCACTGGATTCACAGCCGACACCCAAGCATGAATAAATGTTTTATTTATTAAGGATGACGACGACGATCAACGGCACAAAACACGCCTAAACAGTGTGCGCGCGCGAGAGAGACACTGCCTGAATGACTGAGCGCGTCCTCCATCGGGTTAAGTCATATTCATGAAAAAAAAATTGTTTACGATGTCCTAAGAGTAATGTTGTCGTAATATCCTAATATCTTTTCAATGTTTAAGGGTAACATATTCCCTCATGACTGGTGTCAGTGCTATAAAGTGAAGCATCAGCTTCAGCTTTTCCCCCCCAAACGTCACTGATGTCACTGCAGCTGTTGGCAGTTCCAGATAGCTCCGCCCTTGCGCCATAGCTCGTGACCGGAAGAGAAGATGAGCCGTTTTGAGGAGGAGGGGAGGTTAACATTTTTGATTAAAGATTACGAGGGCACATGAATTTAAAAAAAAAAGAATGAAGTGGACGGATAAATTATTTATAATAAACACTACAGTATTCCATTAAAAAATAAGAATTTTTCATTTTGATTTCATGGTGACTTTAATGGACCTTCAAAACTTCATGTGGGATTATATTTGCGGAAAACAGAAAGTTTGAGTAAAGAGCAAAGGTCTAATCTTCTTTCTTGTATGTGTCAGTGTTTGGTCTGTAATGTAGACTGTTAGTGTGTTAAACGGATGCTCTGCTGACCTACTTCAGATGAGCTGCTTCCACGTCACTCTGTTAACAGCTCTCTGTTTCTCTGGCACCGGCACATCACATCTGATCCATCAGGCCGCCTACTCCACACCACTCACAGGATCTGCAACTTAATAACATTTCATTAATGATAAAGTCCCCTGGGCCTAATCAAGTTTGTTGTTTACAATCACAAGAACTTGTCCTTGACTCCATGCCAACAAGTATCCGTTTATATAATGTTTTAGATTTTATAGATCTTCACATTTATTTTGAAGAGCGCTCTTTTGAAATGAGGGTTTGGTGTTAATGCATGATGATTAATTAGCAAAAACAGCTCATTCAGAAGTTGTCACAATATTGCAACACAGTACATCACAACCCTGAGCAAGTTAACATGATTTTTATTTTTTTTTTTATGCCTATTTTCTGTTCAGTAACTTGAAAGCAGTTAGTGATTTCTCATGCAGTCTTAAAAAAGGGCATCTGCATAGAAATCTGTTTAATTTTGAGGGTCAAAGAAGGTGTAAAAAAACACTTAAAATATTATTATACACACACACACACACATACATTTTAATTCATCAATGTGTACATTTAAATAAACTATTGTGATGCTAGAACCCTATTTATTTATCTATCTATTCATTCATTCATTCATTAAATTCCGCAAGAACCTTATTTATTTATTAATTTTTTCATTTATAGATTTAAAGAAATTATTTTAATGCACAACCCCCTTTTATTTAACTTTATCATTTATTAATATTTATTTATTCATTCATTCATATAATTTCCCCAACTTGCATTTTTTATTTGATGTGTCTGGTTAACATAGTGTACCATCAAAGCCAAGCCTAGACTGCAATCTTTCCCAACGCTGCTGTTATTACCCTTAGTGTGCCTGCTTTGTCTTTGTCTTATTGTTACTCTGTTCCAAAATATACTGCCACCCCTCACCCCATGACCCTCTTAACACCAGCCAATTACCTTGCCTGTGCTTTTTAAATCCGCTTACAGCTCTCTATGCTAATGTGTTTATCTGTGATCATTTTTAAAGCGGGAGAGGGAGACAACAGTAATATATGTTAATGGCACCTGGCCGTCTCGCTGCATTCCTCCACACAGAGAGAGAGAGCAGCTCTCCTCTGTGACTAATGCACGCTGGCACAGCCTTTTAAAGGCAGGGTGGCCTCGCTTGTGTTCACGTCTCTGAGTAAATGAGGGGAAGTGAGTGTGTATGTGGCCGTGGGGGCACTTGATGGCAGGATTAAGACTTGTGTAACATATAACCTAGAGCTACTGCACACAGCTCTCCTCCCGTGTTCTTTTTAGATGCTTTTCTTTAGAGGCAGGAGCTGCAGACCGATGTGTGTGCATATGACATTTTTTTTAGCTCTAGTAAATGCTGATAAATGTGTGACATTGTACTAATTTTTCATATAATTCTCTCTCAAAAACACACACTGCCACATACACACTGCAGTTTTGAGAGTAACAGCTGTATTTAAATAAACAAGTCGCTTCAGTTGTCACTCCTGTGAATAAGTGAAGTCAATGTGAACAGAACAAGATTCAGCTCTCTGAAGAGGAGTAACAACCGATTTTAGCTGCAGTGTGTAGCGGCCTTTCTTTTTCCAAACTGTGTTTGTTTCTATGTTGTTGTTTGTAGCTTTTTTTCTGTCATTCTCTTTGTCTTTCTGTCTCTCACTCTTTTTTTTTCTTTCTGTCTCTCGCATTGTTTTTCTGTCTGTTTATTTCGCTCTCTCTCTCTGTCTTTATTCCTGTCTCTGTCTTATGTTAAGTTTGTCTTTTTATCTTTTTCTGTTGTTTGTTCTTTCTTTATTTCTCTCTTTCTCCCTTCTGTCTATCTCTTTGTTTTTGTCTCCATTTTTGTCTTTCTGTTTTTCTTTTATTTCTGTCTCTGTCTTCTGCTAGATTTCTCTTTTTATCGATCTGTTTTTATTTGTAATTCTTTTCTTTTTTTATTTCTCTCTTTCCTTCTGTTTGTTTTCTTTTTATCTGTCTGTCTTTGAATTTGTCTTTTTCTGTTTTTCTAGCTGTCTTTTTTCTTTCTGTCTTCCTGTCTTTCAGTTTCTTTCTTTCTGTAACATTGAGTGAGTGGTTAGTTGTTGGAGTGCAGAGAGAAAGGAAGTGGCTGAATTGTGGGTTGGCACGAATTAGGGGATTTGGCAAGCCTCCCTGTTTCTCCCTCTCTCACACTGTTGTTAAGGACTGTGTGTAAAGGTCACATTGAAGAAGAAAAGCAGGTCAGTTAGGAGGAATTGCTTTCTCTCTGCTTTCTCATGATATCAACATCAAACCTCTTAAATCTCTCTCTTTCTCTTTATTTCTGCCACAATCTCTTGCTCTCATTGTCTGTTTGTTTTTGTGTGTTTGAGCGTAGATGTGTTTTGGCACAGATAATATGCATTAGAGAGCGCAGAAGAGAGAGAATGATAGAAGAGATCAGATGAGGTTGTGAAGGGAGGGAGGGAGTACGGGCATTAGGGAGGTGGAGTCACTGCATCTCAGCTTCACTTTGCTGTTAAAGTCCAGCCAAGCGGCAGCCATTGAAGAGGAGTGGAAAAAAACTGTGGCCTTGAGACAGAAAGAGAGAGAGGGCTGGCGAGAGAAAGCGCATGAGTTTGATAAATATAGAGAGAGAGGGAGAGGAGGAGAAGAAGAAAAAGAGAAGGGCTGCTCTGTTTAGAGAGAATCAGAGAAACGACAGCGCAACTATCAGAGGAACAATGGGAGCTCATCTCCCTCCCAAACACCACTCCCTTTTTCTCTCTTCTACTTTCTTGCTCTTCCTCATGCTGTTCTGGAGCTCCAAGAGCCTCTGCTGTGCATTTCCATGGAAATCATGTGAGTGAAGAAGAAAAGACTGATGGAGTAATAGAGAAGAGAGGAAGAGTGGACCAGAGGGCCGCATATTTTCTTTATGCAACTCCCTGATTGGATGATCCACAGTGGGCCAGTGCTGAGGATTTCAATTGGATGTAGCATTGGTGTATGCTCTTGAATTACCAAAGCTGATTGGACAGCATTGTCTTATTGGAGTACTCTTAACATTTGGAGGTACTGGACAAAATGCAATGTTTTGAAATTGAAGATGAATGAAACCTGTATTTCAGGAAGTTTAGGACAGTGTTTGACCCTTCACTGGATTTAACCACTACTTTGCCATTTGTTGGATGGGGCAAGAATGGCGTTTCCTTGACTTTTGACCTGTTATATAGAAGTACTTCTGGGTAATTGTGTATGTGTGCATTGCTAAGCAGGCTATTATTTAAGCTGCCTTTGCACTGCAGTGTCTGTGTGTGTTTGCCATGTTACATAGATTAGGATGTGTGTGCGTTTCTGACAAACAACTGGAAGTTTGAAGAATAAACAGAGACAGAAACAAGGATCAGAGATGGTGAGGATAAGCATACAAATCAGACTTCAAATGATTTCTTGCTTTGCTTGTTTGTGTCACTAAGGGCTTTTTTTTGCACTTACACTCTTCATTTTATCTCTCCATTTCATTCTCTCCATCCTTGTGCAATCTACACTGACTGTCTTGTTAGCTTTGATGTGGAGGGCAGCAGTGCTTTATTGTGGTCACTAGCGATATAAATCAAAGCAGCTATTTAGACTGGACAAGAGGTTCCTAATGTGAAGCTAACCAGCACACAATGACTTGGCTGATGTCTGCTGAGTGTTAGCTTGGTGTTAAATGATTGAGAACAGTTCATGTCAGGCTGTTGCCCCACTTTCCTCCTTCAGACGGCAAGCGGCAGCACATGATCTTTGACCTTTTATTGAGGTTTTTCTTAATGACGACGCGAGGCTGGGCAAATGGGAATGCTCGAGGCTTCCGTTACCCAGCGCGCAGGGATTTTGTGTGTTAGGCAGTGTGTAATATAAATCTTATATAAACTGTAACAGCCTTGGTGCTGCCCTATTTTCAGTGCATGTGACTTAGTGGGACACCAAGTAGGGAAAAAAAATGAGACCTACACATACACTACTGTTAAAAAGTTTGGGACCAAAGATGCATTGATTTTTTTTCAAATACTTGTTTTCTATTTAAATCTATTTAAAAATGCAGTTGCAATTAATCTGGCCATTATAGTGGTTTCCTCATCATGTCCCATTCTCCGTATCAATAAATGGACATTTTTGTTGTGTCATGCAGACGATGACGCTGTCTCTCGTGTGTTGAAATAACTATGACGGTAGTTACTCTATCACTCATAGTTCTGTTCCTGTTTCTACGTTAGTAAAGTGAGAATGTTCCTTTTCTTACTGTCATAGGTCTGCTCCAGTATGGCAGAAATTGGTCCGCTATCGCCAAGATGGTGGGCTCCAAAACAGTCTCCCAGTGCAAGAACTTCTACTTTAACTACAAGAAGAGACAGAAACTGGATGAGATTCTGCAACAGCATAAAATAAAATCGGTCAGTTCTTGGAGAGTGCGGGTTGAATAATTTATAATTGTCAGCAGTATTGGTTTCATGTTGTTGTTTTTGTGCTTGTGTTCGTTGTAGGAGAAAGAGCGTAAGGCCAGACGTAAAGGTAAAGCTCTTCAGAACGAGGAGGCCAGCGCTCCATCTGCTGCAGAGGACGAGGAGATGGAGGGATCGGGAGTCAGCGGCAATGAGGAGGAGGCTCAGGATGACGGAGAGGGTATGGACACAAACGCTTGATTCTTGCACACTCACACAGCCACATCATCATGCAGTAATTATTACACAAAGACTAATGTCCATTTAAACACAGTCATTTGTTGCACATTACTCACTGACTTTGTGTAATGGAAGTAATGAAACTCTAGAGTTAAGATCTGAGAAACAAATGAGCAGTTTGGTAATTATGTTATCAGCCGTAGCTATGAAACAATTCACACTGAAACCAAACACCTCTGAGGTTTTGTGGCTGGCAGGAAGTCCCACAGCAGCTCGAATCGAACGGCAGAGTGCTTTTCTCAGAATATCAGGAACACGTGGCCTAGACTCACCTATGACCTCACCCGTGATACAACCCTGACCTACTTTTGTCGAGTTCTGAGAAAGAGGCGACGCTCTCTGCACAAGCATGAATTGCTTTTCCAGGAGAGCGGCGTTTTGTGAAGTGGTTGTGTTATAGCGGAGCGATCAAACTGTCTAGGTGTCAAAGTGTGTGTCGTGCTGTGGACGTCGTACTTTCACAAGTCCGCCAGGCAGCTATGAAACAAATGCTTTGTGCTGTGTGTTTGGCAATCAGGTGTGGCTTGCCGATAAATGGCTTTCGTAAGCTTTCATAAAGCCACATTTATCAGGTCAAAGCTTGTGAAAGAAAGCCAGCAAGGGAAGTGCTTATTATGTTATGGTTATTGTGTAATTACATCCAGCTGGGAGAGCACACTCAACGGCTGGGGTTTGTTATGCCAGTGGGAAAATGAGGCTTATCATAATCCCCTGCTGTGTATTTACTAGTTACGTTTACTTTTTGATTTGACAAAGGACATGTTAGATTTAGATAAGAGTGGTTCTTCGTTGAGGAGCTTTTCTGTTGATTTTAAAATGAAACTGTTTTTCAAAGCAATCGTTCAATTTTAAAGGACATGCTATATTAGCTTTTGCTGTTTATGGTATCTGTTTAATGGCTTTTTTCTACTTTCAAGAGTGAAGAAATGTTACATTTGTCAGAATTTCACCATTTTGGAATTTTAACTTCCTCTTCATAATTTATTAAATAAATTAGGTGAATCCTTTGTACTTTCCTTGCCTAAAAATCATATTGTTATTAAAAGTTGTCTTTGGTTCTTATAAGTGCAATTTACAGTTTTTCTTAATATATTGAAGAATCACTTTTTTTTTTAATCACTGTCCCAATACTCCTGTCCATTACACTAATCATTTCAGAGGACAAGCATTTCTAAAAATGTTTGTTTGGTTATGATGAAAATGAGAAGTGAGAAGAGCATGTATAGAAGTCGATACAGCGGTCAGAAAATTATTTAAAAAAACAGTTGCCTTTCTTTTCAAGTTAATTGACAGCTAGCTAGCTTGCGTTAAATGTTTATCCAGCTATTTCTCCAAAAAATTTTATCATAATCAAACACAATTTACTATATATCACCATCACATACAGTACTGTTCAGAAGTTTGGGATCAGTATGTTTTTTAAAAGATATTGTTTTATTCTGAAAGATTGCGTTTTAAATTGATCAAAAGTGAGAGTGTAATACATTTATAATGTTACAAAAAATCTATTTCAAATTCTGTTCTTACAAACTTTCTAATTATCGAAGAATCCTTAAATGCATCAGTTTCCACAAAAATATTAATTAGCACACTTGTTTCAGCATTGATAATAAGAAACATTTCATGAGCAGCAAATCATATTATAATTGATTTCTGAAGGATCATGTGACACTGAAGACTGGATGCTGCTGAAAACTCAACTTTGCCATCACGTGGTTAAATAACATTTTAAAATAGATAGAAATCTATCTATAATCTGTTTTTTTTTTTTTTTATTAATGCACCCTTGGTGAGCATAAGAGACTTCTTTCAAAAACATTAAAAGAAGCTTACCATCCCCAAATTTTTGAACAGTATTGTACTTTGCCAAAATTTTAGTTATGTCCTTAATCAGATCTTTATTCCAGAACATAAAATAAATGTTTTAAAATGGATAAAACAAATAATAGAATTTTCAATGGCCCCAAATTGAAAAATGAAGTGCCCAAAACAACCGCCTTACCAATCAAACCACACTCAACAGATCAGCTGATATTCGTGTCCTGCCCTCTTACGATGTTTACGATGTTCTTTTTTTTTCAGGTGGAGCCAATAACAGCTCAGACACCGAGAGCCTCCCTTCCCCACGCTCCTCAGATGACAGCAAGGTCAAAGAAGAGGGCTCCGGACGGCCTAAAACTGCACCCAACGCCACTTCCTCCTCGTCCTCCACGGACAAGGACATGGCAGCTACTGAGATGGGGCCGGATGAAATGCCAAAAGTGGAGAAAGGAGAGGTGGAACCGAGAGGAGTGAAGCAGGAGGTAAAGATCGAACCGGGGGAGTGTTGTAAGGAAGCAGCAGGAGAAGATAAGAAGCCTCCTGCCCTGGAGGTGGAGGAGGGCAAGAAAGAGGTCAAAAAGAAAGAGCATGGAGGAAAGAGCGGAGCTCAAGACAGCGACTCCAGCGCCACATGCAGCGCCGATGAGGTGGAGGAGACGGAAAGCTCAGACAAAAACAGGTGAGAGTGTGCATGTGTGTGTATGAGAACAAGGGCTGATTGGTTGCTTGGGTGGGGTCTGATGTGTTTTGTGGTTAAGGGGGCTGGGATTGTTGATTTGTCCTGTAGGACTCTATTTTTTCCATGACAGCAAACACTGTATATGTTGGGCGAGTCAGGGGAAACAGCCTGTGAGCTTGCCCAACATAACAGAGCGAGAAGTGTGTGTGTCTGTCTGGCTGTCTTTGTGTATTTTGCATTTTACATTTCCATAAGACTGCATGTGGAGTTGTCTATATTTGTTTGTGTGTTGCGATGATGATTAAGTGTGTGTGTGTTTGTGGTTTTGTGGCATTAATGGGCTGTTTACAAAGACAGTAAATAAGAGAGAATGAGGTTCTGACCATATTAAGCAATAACTCTTCTCTGCTATTCTCACTCTCAACACAATGACGTCTGCTAGGCCGAGTTTGTTGAGTTTCGCCCATGATGGAGTGATCGCTTCTCCACTTCAGAAACCGCTGGACCTCAAACAGCTCAAGCAGAGAGCAGCCGCTATACCTCCCATAGTAAGTACCTACCCATACTGACATTTGCCTTTTTATTTTCAGTCACTTGTGGTTTGAAATTCATGAGGTTTTCATGTTAACAACTAGCATATCTGGCCAGATTACGCAGATTAGCATCTTCTCTCCATGTTGCCATGGTTACTAAGGTTGTTTTTATTCCCATGAGATGTTAGTTCTCTTAGCTATTCAGACACTCATGATGAGCTAATAGCCCGAACGTCAGAGCTCTGGCAAGTGGAGAGGTGTGGAAACTGATATGCGCTGTTCTAAGAAAAGCTTGCATGGTGTTAGTCTCAACAAAACAACCGTAATTGTTTTAAATGACTCAAAGAGGTTGTTTTTGTTGCTGTTCGTTTAAGACTACATGTAAATGACCTCTGTTATGACTGATTAGCCTTTTGTGAAAAAACCACCCTGTTTAAAGACAATGATGTGGATGTGGGCGGTCATTAGGGGTGTGCAATATTTATTTTCTATGATAACACTGTATTTGTTGTTTTAATGATGTGTGAGATGACATTATCAAGTATGTTACTCACTCAAAACATGTCTGTGATGTAGCTTAGTATAATATAGCAGGGCTCCAGACTCATTCTTCCCACTGGTCGCTCTTTTGCGACTAACTTTCTCAGTTGGTCGAACGATCACATGATTTGGTTGCATTTTTTATTTTATTTTGCTACAACATGGGATTAATCAATGCATGCTGATGAACTTTTATCATAGTTTATAGTTATATGGAAACGAAAAGTGGTTACCATTCAACCTGTTATTTTTCTTCAGTATTTGTGATTTGAATTTTGTGAACTATACATATTTCACTTTTTAAGACTAAAACAAAAGATGGATTCTTTATTATTCTTAATTAAAAAGCACAACAACAGTAAACAGTAAGATACAATGACAAACTAGCTTACAAAACATTTATTAACAAAAACGAATAAGATGAGGCATATAGCATACACCACATGCTGTATTATATAGCCTACCAACTAATAAATGACAGAAAATTTAGCAAACACCGAGGAATCAAATAAAAAATAAATAAAAGAGAGCTTCCATAGCATAACGTGAGGTAAACAGCAAAGATAACAAGCTTTTCAAAATGAAAACAAAAAGAAAAGTAAAACTAAACTTGATGTCGGTGACAGTGCTTGCATGTTTTTTGTTTTTTTCACACAAGAATTACCAACATGTCCACCTTCTCTGGTTTAAGAAGCGGTCTTTTACTTTAGCTTGAAAACCATCCATCATTGTCTCAATATTCGCATCAATTTTGCTGCGCGCACCTTCGCACTAAACCAGGCTCTACACTGTAAGCACTGCACAGTTCAAACGAGTAGCGCGGTTTCGTTATGGTTTCGTTTGCCATTTGATGTTTCTCATATGCAACAGAGCTTAAGAGTTGAACAACGCGGTGGTCGCGCCAGTGCGACCGCTCACAATTTAGTCGCACAGGCAGAAAAAAATGGTTGGTCGCAGTCTGGAGCCCTGTATAGTTATATATATATATATATATATATATATATATATGTGTGTGTGTAGTTAAGCAATATCACACCAGCCAGAGTGCTGTTCTTCCCCAAATATCAGCATGGTTTCAAACTTGATATTGATTTTTTTATACAGTTTACTGATTTTATACCAATCAATAAACAACAAAGTTAATATTGCGAGTTATGTTTTGAATATTGTCTGTACAGGTGCATCTCAATAAATTAGAATGTCGTGGAAAAGTTCATTTATTTCAGTAATTCAACTCAAATTGTGAAACTCGTGTATTAAATAAATTCAATGCACACAGACTGAAGTAGTTTAAGTCTTTGGTTCTTTTAATTGTGATGATTTTGGCTCACATTTAACAAAAACCCACCAACTCACTATCTCAAAGAACCAAAGACTTAAACTACTTCAGTCTGTGTGCATTGAATTTATTTAATACACGCGTTTCACAATTTGAGTTGAATTACTGAAATACTGAACTTTTCCACGACATTCTAATTTATTGAGATGCACCTGTATTTCCACAAAGATAATAGCCACACACAACAATGTTTCATTTCTCAATGAGTCTGTTTTTTTAAATCAGGTGAGTTAATGATTCAGTGACCCATTCATGAAGACAGTCACTTGCTTCATTCCTGAATTAATCAGCCATTTCAACAAATCTGTTTAATGAATGACTCAATGACTCACTTATTAAGACAGTGACTTGCCGCCACCAGTTGGTGTTTTTAGCTCCATAGATGATGCATACATCTAATAAGGTTGGAAAATATTGCTTTAATAAAGGTTAAAAAAAATCCTGGGAAAAAACTATTGCCCTCTTAAAGGGGTCATATGATGCGATTAAAATTTTTCCTTTCTCTTTGGAGTGTTACAAGCTCTTGGTGCATAAAGAAGATCTGTAAAGTTGCAAAGACTAAAGTCTCAAATCCAAAGAGATATTCTTTATAAAAGTTAAGAGTCGGCCACGCCTACCTAAAACGGCTCGTTCTAACACGCCCCAACATACCTGCGTCGTTCTGTGGGAAGATTTGCATAACACCGCCCAAATGTTCACGCAAAGAAAGAAGGCGTAACTTTTATTCTCTCTGTAGTTTTGTTGTTTACGCCGCCTGTCATAAAGACGCTGTGTGCTTCATTGTAAAAGCGAAACTACTTTGTTTGGTCTTCCAAAAGAGGACGATATCTCATGTTTTTGAATCATCGCTCCGGCCTGACAGGGCATCATCACAATATGGCAAGGGGCGTAACATTTCCGTCTCACGCTTGAGGTATTCGGCCAATCACAACGCACTGGATAGCTGGCCAATCACAGCACACCTCGCTTTTTCAGACCGATGAGCTTTGTAAAAATCGACGCGTTTCAGAAAGGCTGTGGAAAATAATGTGTTTTTTGAATCTTAAACCGCTTAAACACATTTCATTTCGCCAAATTCACAAAATACTGTTCTTTTTAGCAGCGTCATATGACCCCTTTAAATGTGATTGTTGTCACTGCTGTGAACTAAGTGCCACACAGAATGTAGCCTGTAATATATTCAGGCCAAAACCAGCACCAAGGTACCAGCACAAAAAAACACTAAGCAGAATATTGTCTAAATTATTCTTAGTAGAAAATATCAAGATAGATGGATATAATATATGATATATAATAAGCAGGCCTGAGCCTGGTCAGTACCTGGATGGGAGACCTCCTGAGAAAACTAGGTTGCTGCTGGAAGAGGTGTTAGTGAGGCCAGCAGAGGGTGCTCAAAAAAGCACCGTCCTTTGCTCTGACCATCATGGCCTCCTAATCATCCCCATGCACTGATACACTGATAATCACTCTGTGTCCTCGCCACCAATAGGCTGGTGTGTGGTGGGCGTTCTGGCGCAATATGGCTGCCATCGCATCATCCAGGTGGATGCTGCACACTGGTGGTGGTTGAGGAGATTCCCCCCCTTTCATGTAAAGCGCTTTGAGTACCCAGAAAAGCGCTATATAAATGTAACAAATTATTATTAATTATTATTATTAGGGATGCACCGTAACCGAAAATACTGGATGCACTTGGCCGAAAACCGAAACCGAAAATGCTTTGTAATGATTATTTATTATTTTATTAAATAATATAAAGTAATTTTGTAAGACTTTTTAAATTTAACTCAATAATTTTAATGATACTGAATTTAAAAAACACAAGCCAATAAAATAACCACACTTTTACTGAAAGTACCACAATAAAACTGGACAGAATTTATATTAATATTTGTAACACTTTACAATAAGGTTCATTAGTTAACATTAGTTAACTACTTTAGTTAACATTAACTAAGAATGAACAATAGTTCTTCAGCATTTATTAATCTTAGGTAATGTTAATTTCAACATTTACTAATGCATTATTAAAATCAACAGTTGTGCTTGTTAACAGTTAATGCACTCTGAATTAACATGAACTAACATTAAGAAAGATTAATAAATACTGTAATCTATTGTTCATTGTTCGTTCATGTTAGTTAATACATTAACTAACATTAACTAATGGAACCTTATTGTAAAGTGTTAACTTAATATTAAATATCAATATATTATTTTTATTCACGTCTATGCAACAGAATCAGATATAAGTTGTTGTTGTTGTTTTTTTTTACTAATTATCCAAATAATGTATAGTCCTACAAAGCTATTATTATCAGAGCATATGAGCAGAGCAGAGCATAGCGTCACTGAAGGTAGCATCATTTTACCAGCCATAGCGTCACTGAAGGTAGCATCATTTTACCAGCGTTGCCCAGTACAGCTGAACTAGCCTACACCATGTTACAGCACAGTAGCACTACTACAGACAGGAACAAGTATACTGTATAGAAATTTCCTGTCAGCGCGTTATTTGAGCGGACTTTGCTTTTCCGGTGAGCATGAGCAGTACACGAGCGGAATGCACTTTCATAGTGCGGAATACTGAGCGGAGCAATACGCACATTGACGAGGAGAGTGAAACCTGCGTGCTGAACACTGCCGGGCGGGGAGAGCCATATACATTATTATATGTAGCCTATATTTTCGGCTCGTATTTTCAGCCGTTTTTCTCTTTCTCTTTCGGTAATTTTCGGTGGCCGAAAATTCGGTGCATCCCTAATTATTATAATATGACTGCAAGGGGTGTGCGATATTGGCCAAAAGAAAAAAAAAAAGAAAAAATCTATATATATATGTATACATATATACATATACATATACATATATATATACATATATATATATACATATACAGTGGGGAAAATATTTATTTGATCCCCTGCTGATTTTGTAAGTTTGCCCACTTACAACGAAATGAAGGGTCTGTAATTTTTATGGTAGGTTTATTTTAACAGATAGAGACAGAATATCAACCAAAAAATACAGAAAAAACACATTATATAAAGGTTAGAAATTGATTTGCATTTCAGTGAGTAAAAATAAGTATTTGATCCCCTTCCAACCAGCAAGAATTCTGGCTCCCACAGATTGGTTATGTGCCCATGTGGGACACAGATTAGTCCTGCCACTTTAAGAAGTTACTCCTAGTGTCAGCTCGTTAGGTGTATAAGACATCTGTCCACACAATCTGTATCTTCCATTCCAACCTCTCCCACCACCATGGGCAAGACCAAAGACTTGAATGGGCTACAAGACCATCAGCAAGAAGCTTGGTGAGAAGGAGACAACTGTTGGTGCTATTATTTGGAAATGGAAGAAATACAAAACAACTATCATTCTGCCTTGGTCTGGAGCTCCTTACAAGATTTTGCCTCATGGGGTAAGGATGATCATGAGAAAGGTGAGGGATCAGCCCTGAAATGCAAATCAATTTCTAACCTTTATATAATGTGTTTTTTCTGTGTTTTTTTGGTTGATATTCTGTCTCTATACGTTAAAATAAACCTACCAAAAAAATTACAGACCCTGTATTACTTATTTTTCATGATATGGCACTTGTACATGTAACATGTATATGTTTTGTATAATGCGGTGTAATGAGCATTTTATGTCTCTGCTTGTAGATGCCAGAGATGTCGGTAGCAGGACGCAATAACCGGCCCAGGTTGCTGGGGAAGCAGCAGGCTATGCCCCACGCTCTTGCATTGTACCAGCAGCAGATTACCATGGCACATGAATCTTCCCAGGAGGCCAAACAGCAACAATCACAGCCAGCCAAATCTCAGCATAACACAGGGGGCGGAGACTCAAGCAGCCCACGGGTCAGGACTCGCAGCCCTGGTGTCTCTGAGAGAGAGAGAGAAGGTAAGCTGGTCTTTATCCCTCTGTTCATTATCTTTTCATCTATTCTTTCAGTTCGTTTTCCTCTCCAGCTTTCTCAACCACCATTGTTTTCCTCGGTTGTGTCTACTACACCAACTAAGCAAGTTATGATGTGTGTGTCTGTACACATGTGGAGTGAGCAGTAGGGTTGTTGCCTTTTTGAGCGCTGTGAAGAGTGTTGGTTGTAAATATAGTAAAAAAGGGCAGTGTATATTTAGCCAAGACCCGACCACCTAGATGGACAGCTAGTGAACCAACTTTGTTACTTGACATGTGCAATTATGAAATTGATGCCTGATGTGCAACAAAGGGGTGACAGGTTTTACAGGCAAAGGGTGCATCACATTTACTGTTGTTTGGCCGATTTTCAGAGGCAAAATCATTTCAAATGATCATGAATTTCACATTAGGGTGAAAAATTTCTTCATACAGATTCAAGGGTTCAAGTTGGTCTCACAGGTTATTCCAAGATCACCACCAGAAAGCTGCTTGGTTTGAAAGTGTGAGCTGTGTTTCATACATCACTACACTATTGACCATAGATTAATCTATTTGCCTGCAAAATAGTGCTGAAATTTTGCCATGATCCACCTAAACACAGAAAAAGTAAAATCTTGAGTTTATGAAATATTAAAACCAACTGAAACTATACTGGAATTGAAAACCAAAATACAGCAAAAAATAAAGTATTTTTAAAAGGTTCAAAACTGTAATAACCTTGCCAGTCTTTACTCTCTTAACACATATTAGGTATCACAATAGATTTGTGACCATATTGGTATGAGCTGAGATAAGTGATTCTTATTTTGTATAATCATCAGACATGATTTCATATTTATTACACTGCTCTTTGGCAAACTTGATTCTGAAAGGCCAGTTGCAGAATTCTGTCAGCAAATGTGTTTTGTATAATGACCACTAAAGTGTATAATTGACTTGTTGCCCCTGGCAGTTAATTTCCTACATGGCTGTGCTAGTCTGTATATCTCTCGCACCACTCCGCGGCTTCTTTCCTCTTCCAAAGTAAAACAATTTCAACCCAAATCAATATTTTATGTTCTATTTTTTTTTGGGGGGGGGGGAGATTAGCATAATAAATGGGATAATGTACAGTCAGCAGGTCATTTTGGCAGAAAAATATTTTTATTTTACAGTAATTTTAGACTGACTGTGCATTATCCTTTACTTAAACTCTTGTTTTCTGTATATTCTATATTTCAGTTTATCCCTTTAAAAGGGCAGACAAACTGGTGTAGTTTTTATTTATTTGTTTATTTATCTTATTATTATCGACCATCATATATAATCTCAGTTTTATTACATGTTATTTATGGGAGAAGGAGTCCTCAACAGGGAAATTTCACTTAATTAAAAAATAGATTGTTATGGTGTTATTTAATTTGGGCACTCAGAACTAAGTTGTCACAAAACTGCTCCTTTCGAGTACTTGGAGAGAAAGAGAGTCTTGGGTCATGGCCATGTGATGAGCTGCAGTGTGTCTGTCCCTGCAGAGCTGGAGGGGAACGAGAGATGGCTTCAGGCTCTGCTACATGGATTACGTAGGTTTACACACCACACAAAATACTCACTGTTGGAGCAGACTCTAATCAAGCGTGTTGATTTCTGGGAGTGTGAATGATTTGCAGATGTGTTTGCATGCCGCTAAGCTCGCAGATTCCAGCTTACAGTGTGTTGGTGAGCCTGATGATCTGTGAATGTGTGCGAGGAAGAGTCTGAATAACTGCTGTCTGTGTGTTTTCACACTGGAGATTGCTGCTTTTGATACAGGGGTTGTGATGATTTGAGCTTTTCATTTTCACCTTCGGCAAAAAAGAGTGTCATAGAATGCTATCCAGTAATTATCTGTTTGGCAGTCACCTTTGTATGTTTTTTTCCATGTGTGCAGATAAATCTCGAGCATTCTCTCCTCTTGCGGATGGTAAAAAGATTCCCGGGGCTGATGACGTTCGGGCTGTAGGTCTAGGCCGGCCAGTGATGTCACCGTACCAGCTCTCTCCCAGAGACATGGCCAAACTCAGCCATGAACAGCTGCTACACTACAATCCCTGTAAGACAACATAGCCCTGTTAATTAGGTCAAAAATAATAATAATAATTATCATAAAATATTATTTATGTGTATATATATATATATATATATATATATACACACAGACACAATGTAATAACATTAGCTAAACATATAAAATATGTTAGAAAGTTTAAAATAATTAAGATTTTTATTTGATCAAAAATACAGTAAAAACAGTAATATTATTGGGAATTATCATTACAGTTTAAAAACTGATTTTTGATTTTTTTAATATTTAAAAAATTTAATTTATTCCTTTGAGTGCAAAGTAGGGTTGCGCTGATAGAAGATAGTATTGTGTATCGACAATAGTGAGAGATATCGCCTGTGGCTGATGCCTTTGACGATCGCAAGACTATTATTATTATTATTATTATTTATATCACGTTATCATGTGTTAAAAAAAAAAAGGACAAAAAAAAATACTTTCAGTATTTTTCAGTTAAGATGTTTATTTAGTTAGTTGCAGAAGATTTCTTTTGTAGAGCCCTGCATTTCAGCCCTTTTTTACGCTGACTTTTTTACGCCCCTAGGGCCGGGCTTCAGGCCAATTTTCACGTCATAGTTCAGACGCAGGCCGGGCCTCGGGCCTGTTTTAGGCTTCTCCTTATTTTTATATTTTAGACATCCATCAATTAGTGATGAAAAAAATCTGCCGCGCTGGTGGAAACAACACGAGACTGTGCTACCGCGACTGACAAGAGCGGCTCGACGGTGTTTAGTGTCCCGCAGCAGCTGCAGCATGCGTGCCTTCAGCGCAGCTGAAGAGTTCTGTGTTCAAATGCATGCAATGGGCAAAAGCCTGCCGCAAAGCCCCAGCAAAAGTAATTACCATGAATGTGTCAGGGGGAAATAGTAAGGAGATATTAGAGTTATTTACTAATAAACTAGTGTTTTCTGAGTCTCTGACAATCCTGACTCGCCATCTCATTAGACGCGACTTTAGAGAGAAGTGCATCTTTACAGATTATGATTATAATGAAAGAGTTTTTGTTTTCGATTTGTTTTATTTCGTTAAGTAGTAATTTAAAGCTTTCTATAGATATATTGATCATGTCTGTGAGGCATGTATTCGCAGAGTTTCAGTTCATTTTTGTGAAGTGCTCCTGTTCAAGACCGAGACGGCAGAAAGCGCATCATGTTTGTTTTCTTTATTTTATAAAATCACAACGTTTTGTTGATATTGTGAGTGCACACAAATAAAAGTTGACGCTTTACAGTTACGAATGATGTATTACTCTTACCTTTATGAGCAAAAATGACGGCGTATTTTAAGTTGTTTCCACTGAAAAAAAAAATGCAAGTGATTGCGCTGGCGCCTCCATGTCCTGCAAAGCGCGCTTTAGCTTCCACATCCGCACAACTATTGGATATAGCGCACATTTATCTAGGTTTAACGTTTAAACATTGTTATATGCTTGAACTGTTTTAGTATATCTATAGATTTTATTTTAGGCAAGTCTTGATTGAGAGATGATTTGAGAAGGCTAAATTGATCAAACATAGGCTATGATCAGCTCACTGTCTGCCGCTTGCCGCTTGGTCGTTACTTTAAAAAACAAAAACTTATAGGCCTATTTAACGAACAAAAAAATGCTCCAAACATTTTTCTAAATTAACTTGATAAAAAAACAAAATGAAATATAGTCACTTTGCCATTACATACAAAACTTAATTATTTTAATAGCTGAAACAGTAGTATAAGCCATTTTGGGAGAAGGGGGAAAAAAAGACGGGCTCGGGACGGTAATTCTGATTAGCTGTCGGACACGGGCCAGGCTAGGGCCTAAATTTGAGGCCCGTGCAGGGCTCTTATTCTTTTTTTCATTTGAACTTTTCTATTCCTCCAAAAATTCTGAAAAAATCACAGCTTATGCAAAAATATAAAGCAGCAAAAATTGTTTTCAACATTGACAGTTATAAGAACCATTTTTAATAATTGAGCACCAGTAATTATTGATAATAGAGCACCAAATCAGCATATTAAATTGTTAAAATAGAAAACAGTTCATTTAAACGGTGATATTTCACACTATTACTGTTTTTACTGTGTTTTTGATCAAATAAATGCAGACTTGTTGAGCATAAAAGATTTCTTTAAAAAAAAATTTTTTTTTAATTATTCCCAACTTTTGTCCAGTAGTGTAAATAATACCATTAATAATTTAAACTTTGTTATTAATCTTATTGAGATTATATGTATTTTTTTAATTTCCCTCTTTCAGCATTGGCTCCCACTCTACAGCCACAGGAGAGAATGGCTGCAGTGCGGCCTCTCCATATCCCAGAACCCCCTCCTCTCATCTCCTCTGCCAAACCTGGTGGTTCCATCACGCAGGTAAAAGCAGCACAAGTTGTATAACTGGGACCTATGATCAGTATTATGTGTAATACATTCAGAGTGTTTTAATGGCTTGTTAATGTGAACATGCATAATTAAACTGGTTTTGTATTGCAGGGTACTCCGGTGCAATTGCACAACCCTTCTCATGGCTCCGACCATGGGAAAATCCCAGCACCAGGATCCCTGGCTCTCTCCTGGATGGACCAGAGGAAAATGGGTGAGTTTGAGTCATGATTGTGAGAGATCACACGTCAACTGTCCAGTTTCCATATCCAACATCTCTTTCTGTCTCCTCAGGAGGGTTTCCAGTGGTTAAACAGGAGCAGTTGTCTCCACGCGGGGCCGCCTCCTCTCAGACTGAGAATCTCTCCTCACAGGACAGCGCTACGTCACGGGGTGAGTTTGGGACAAATCATTATCCCTCATCTCAATTCAGTTTTAATTCAAAGAGATTAAAATGCAGAAATAAGGCTCATATCATGAAGAGATTGAAAACCTTAACTCGCTCTTACAGGCCCCATGCCAGCTGTTCAGGGTGGCAGCATCACGAAGGGCATCCCTGGCACACGTGTGCACCAAGAACCTTCCATATCATATCGAGGAGGTTCAATCACTCAGGTAAGAAGCTTTTGTCTGCACAGCACACATTTAAAAATGGAAAATGCACCGTGAACTTGGTTCATATTTGTGGTTACAACTGTGTCAGTGTTTTTCTGTTACGTGATGTTCTCATTCTTGGAATCCTCACATTACAGTGAGCAGTCAGCTCTTATAAAAGCCCCTTCAAAAAGCAAATGGAACGGGCAGTTTGTCTCAGCCATATCACGTCATATTATGACATAACTGGTAATCAGTTGCCATAGCAACAGGTACACAGAGTCCAATCCTATTCTCTCCTTTTATTAATGTGTTTATACGCCTACGCAGTCTGATGTTACCGATCACTCAAACACGTACTCAGTGTGCCAACTGACCTACTGTGACACATTACACGCTCAAGCAAATCAGAATAGGTTAGGGCGAGCGTTTAATCAGACCAGAGATAAGCTCTGTGTTTAACTGTGTGACATTATTGGCAGATTTATTGGGAGATAAGGAGTCATTGTCAGTAAGAGTTCACCTGAGATATGGGCATATGCAGCTGTACAACATACAGTGTTATGTAATGCTGAAACATTATCCAGTCCACCAGTTAAAGATCAAACTTTTAAAATTAATTTGTCCTGCTGTGATTTCTTGCAACAGTTTGAATAGTTGTCTGCCTTTTTTGTGGCACAAAATCAACATGATCATATTCTTCATTACTGTAACCTTAAAATATAATTGTTATGAAATACCAGTGACACAAAGTGCTTGCTTCCTCTTTTCTCACAACACAAGGGTCAAACCAGGTCAGGCCCCAGGAAGTCTTAACATCCTTGATGTACATTGTAGTCTTCCTAAAATTGTAAAGGTTTTTGTGTGGCATGATCTTAATAATTTTTTTCTTACGTCTTTTACTCATAGTTGCCTTTACACACTGTAATTGGAAAAAGTATTTCAACAAGTGTTTTTACCTATTACATGCGTCACCTTTAAAGACAACATAAACACAAAATTGACCAGTTACTATCTTTGTAAATTTGCCTCATTTTATAGTTCACATTTTATTATTGCATGTTATTCTAAAGTAAATGTTTTCATATTTTGTTAACTTTCTTTTTCTGAAGCAGTTTTTCTGCTGATTGTTTTCTGTTTTTTTTTCTCTCTTATGTGTGCATTAAAGTCATTTTGACTGTTTTTATTTAATATTGCCATGTTTATTATAAATGATTTATCCATGCACATCATTATTATTTTTAAATTCATGTAGTCTTGTAATCTTTCATTCAAAGCATTAACGTCCCCTCCCCCCTCAAAATGACTTATCTTCTCTGATGATGTCTACTCGCAGTAATTAGCAAACAGCAACAATCCATTCAAAATCAAGCTACATCCTACATTTTTTTCCCCCATTAAACAAAGTATCACTTGGATATATGTCACAAACGGGAAGAAAAAATGATCATTCTGTTTCAATCCTTTCCTATAATTTCTTTCAGGGCACTCCTGCAGATGTCTTGTATAAGGGCACAATAACCCGTCTGATCACTGAGGACAGCCCCAGCAGAGAGAGAAGCAGAGAAGACACTCCTTCTAAGGGGCACGTAGTCTACGAGGGCATCAGTGGACACATCCTCTCCTTTGACCGTAAGTGTACACAAACATGCAAATGCTCAGAACCTAATAAAGGGAGCAGTTGTCTCTGACTATTGTTTGTGTTTGAACACACAGGGGGTCCAAATTCTAAGGAAGAGGGTCGTGGAGACATGGCTGGGCTGAAGAGGACCTATGAGATGATGGAGGTTGGCATTTCTCGTGTGCCACCCATCAGAGACTCACTATCTGCCACTGAAGGTGAGCATAAGACACCCTTCTTTAACAAGCATGTACAACAGAGTTCCACTGTTTATCCTTTTTCCAGTTAACGTTCCTTCACCTGCCGTCTCCCTCTTTTGCAGGCTTGATCAGTCGAGCAATGCCTCACGAGCGTGATAGTCCTCATCTACACCACATCCGTGGATCCATATCCCAAGGTCAGTATGATCTCAGAAACTCAGCCTCGACTGAACACCTTTAGCTCATACAAGCTCTTGCTCTTATTTCCTTTGTCTTACATTTTTTTCTCTCCCAGGAATCCCGCGGGATGACTGTCAGCGCCGGGAGGTTAAACAGATGAAAAGAGAGGGTTCCCCATCACCCCGTGGCCCTGGTCATCCCACTGACACTCTTAAATCACGTTCTCACGAGAGTATAGTGACCACCGTCAAAGAGGGAGGACGCTCCATCCACCTGATCCCTCCTGAGGGGGTTGTGATAGGCAAGCCTAAGGAGGGCTCAATCACCCAGGTGACTGGCTTTGATTTGTGTTTTCTTGGTATGGTAGGATATCTGACAAATACATTTTTTTGAAGACTGGAGTATTTGAATTTTTTGAAGACTGGAGTATTGATTTCTAAAAAGTAAGCTTTGAATCACAGGACCACATTTGAAAATATATTCAGAAATCCCGAAAGTACTACACTTTTCTTCCCATGTTTATTTCACAGAATATTTAGAGGTTTTGTCTGAAACTGCTGAAAATGCATAAGGGCTATAAATACTGAAATTTACAAAATTATGAGAACTAGGGTACATTTATGTACCTCTACAATAAAATAAAGGTGCCTGACAGAACAAATAAACCAGAGGTTCTAATGACCAAGTTTCTTCTGGATCAAAATCCTTACATTTGTCATATTGTAAATTCTTTAATAGGTTGTTCATTAAATACATTCAAAAATATAAAGAAAATCCAAAAGTAACAAGACTTGATAAGATTCAAATGTTGCCTTTACAGTATACATTAAACATCAATACCACTCAACCCTCTGTCAAATTAACCGAATATTCACCAAATGTGTGTTCTACAGGGCACCCCTCTGAAACAAGAGCCTGTTGGCTCATCCAAGCGCCATGATGTGCGGTCCATCATCGCCAGCTCTCCTCGGCCTTACTCTGGAATGTCCTCTCATCTAGAGCTCAGGCCCGAGCACAGAGGGTCTGACAGGACCCGATATGAGGAGGTAGGGTGCAAATCACGACCCAGCGCTGTGGTCAGCACCCCCGGTTCTCTGTCCCGTACTTCTCCATTGGCACTTAGTGGAGAGCAGAGCAGCAGACCCCACCACAGTCCAGTGGGCTATGAAGATCACAAAAGATCCGGCTACCCTCCGCCCTCGCACAGAGCCTCTCCACTGTCCGGCAGAGAAACCTCACAGCGTGCACATGAAGGTATCATGTTCTACAAATCACTGGCTTTCAGGAGCTGGTGGTAGTTTGTATGGTGTTTAAATGTTGTTTCACTGTGTGTGACTTAGGCTCTAGTAAGGCCCAGCAGCAGGAGAGAAAAGCCACTCCCACCCCTCGAGAGGTGAGCTCCACTAAGTCTCCACTGGCAGTTGGTGAGCACACTGCGTCTTTGGCCTACGAGAGGATCCTGCAGGGGCTGGGAACGGATATGTACCGTGGCCAGATACCTCTACCATTTGACCCTGCAACTCTGCCCAGGGGAATCCCGATTGAGCCAGGTATTTGCAGTTTAGCAGCACAAATATTAGGGTGCAAATTGCCATTTTTATGGAATACTTGGAAATATCAGGGAACGTGTGATTTCCA